ATTGGTATAGATGCATAAATGTATCTCACAAATTTGAAACATCTGACTGGAACAGTTCTTTTCAGTACACAGACATTGATTCGTACAACGATACAGTAAATACATAGTCTCTCTGTGGTACTACTGTCAACATTCACTAAGAATTTTCACTCTGGAAATTAGTGTTTTGCATTATACACTGAGGCGACATATCAGAAGTAATATTGTGATGGTGGAAACTGTTGTTGTCTCTTTCAAAGATGGTTATTAGGTTGTTGAGGGGAAAAGTCTCTTAGTTCTCATGTTAGTTTTCCAGCCACACCTTCACATAGAGCCTGTGAGGTTAGTGCTGTGATTAGTATTTACATCTGCTTTTCAACAAGGCCATTTGTTGGTGGCAGCTCTGCCTCCTAGAATCTGGATTGGCCAAAATTTGTTCAAAGTCTGTAGTTAAGTTTCTTACAGCTACAGATGAAGGAATAATTGAATTAACCTAAATAGGAAGTTATGAAATGTATTTAGTTTGGCTTATGATGACCCCATCGAACACCTGCAGTGCCTTTTTTGATCAGCATCTACTAGAAAAGAGTTGTCACCAATTTAACATGTGACCAAGAAGTGTTTCAAAAGTGAGTTTTCTAGAAAATGGAAACTTTTTATAAACCAAGAATACTACTGTATAATAACAGCGGTATCTATAAGAATCTCCAGGGTATCAAGAAGTCTTAAAGAGGCTCAAAAGAGTAATAATGAAAGATACCAACTCTAGAACCAGATGTCATGGATTCAGCCCCCATCTCCACCACTCACTAGTACTGACTAAGCCAGAATATTTGGGTTCAAATCTCAGGCCTTTCCTCGGACACAGGGTGGGGAACATCACACACCGGGGCCTGTCGTGGGGTAGGGGGAGGGGGGAGGGATAGCATTAGGAGATATGCCTAATGTAAATGACAAATTAATGGATGCAGCACACCAACATGGCACATGTATACATATGTAACAAACCTGCACTTTGTGCACATGTACCCTAGAACTTAAAGTATAATTTTAAAAAATTTTTTAAAAGTTAAAAAAAAAAAAGCTCAGGACTTTCATCAGTTAGTTATGCTAAATGGAGATAATAATAGTACCTGCTTCATAGATTAAGGTAAGGATTAATCTAAGACTCGACTTTTTCATGAATATTGTAGAACACCAAATACTCTTTCTAAACTTTAGTATCATAGACACATGGTCTTTGTTTACAGGTAATATAATTTAAAACAGTGCTCAGCTCATAAATACTTTGTGCTAGCTGCTGCTGCTGCTATTGCTATTCATTATTATGAGCCCTAGTTGCTTTTTCAATGTTATTCAAGAAATAAGCAGAAAACTTAAAGGCAGTTTGGTTCTCAGATATCATTGACTAGTGTTAGGGTACCAGCCACAGTCTAGAAACCCCACTTTACCCTCTCTTCCTGTGCTACTTCTGAGAAATTAAACAGCCAAATCTGTTAGACCTTATACCTAAAATAAGACTAGAATCTATCATAAAAGACTCACTTTTGTATAATTTGTAAAATATTCTATAGTTTATGATATGATGTAGTTGGGATTGACGGTATTATTATTTTGTCATCATCCCTATTTTACAGATTAGGACTCTTCAATTTGGAGGCTAAGGAAGAAGGGAGACAGTGTTATCAATATGCTCACTAAATTTAGCAATAGGATGGACTTATAAAGACAAGAATTACATAGAATCCTTGCCATAAATATAGGAAATACTCTGTTTCTCAAGCATTCATAGCCACCTTCTTGGAATTGTAAACCTGTGGTTTTATAATAATTTGGCATATAAACTATATATTTGGTAGAGAAATAAAACCAGAATAATATAATTTGTATACCTCTTTGTTTCTAAACCTATGTGCTGTCAATCTGGTCACATTTTTAAAAAGATGACTGCCTTTCATGCTGCTAATGTATTTGTAAGATAAAGGCCTAGAAATTGAATCGGTGAGGGTTTTTTTCCTGCTTACAGATAACATTTTACATATTACGCACTTTGCTTCTCCTCCCCTCCCCCATTATCATAATATAACTTGAAGAGCTTTTGAAGTCAACTCATGTAGAAGTGCTTCATTCTTTTCTAAAGACTGCATGCCACTCTATTATGGTCATGCTGAACTTTATTGAAACAGCCTTCTATTGATGAACACTGAGATTGTTTTCAGCCTTGTACTATTAGAAACAGTGTTGCAGTGATTATCCTTTTACATATGGCATTTCACAAATGTGAGCACATCTATAGGTTGACACACTTAGGATGGAATTGTTGATTCAAAGGCTATGGGACTTTTTAATTTTGATCACTATTGCAAATTGCCCTCCCTAGAGGTTGTAGTAATATATACTCTATACTCTTTTTTCTCATACTTCGAAACACTCTCATCAGCAGTATACAAACAATTACTGACTGTTTCTCTGCCGTCTCTCCAATACAACCTGTGATCGAACTTTTTGATCTTAAGCAGTCTTTTTGGAGGAAGATGGTATCTCAGCATAGTTAACTTGCAGTTGTTTTATCTTTGAGTGTCAAGCATTTTCTTTTCTTTTCCTTGAACTGTCCATGTTGTTTGCTCATTTTTAAAATAAGATTGTTGGTCGGGCGTGGTGGCTCACACCTGTAATCCCAGCACTTTGGGAGGTCGAGGCGGGCAGATCACGAGGTCAGGAGATCAAGACCATCCTGGCTAACATGGTGAAACTTCATCTCTACTAAAAACACAAAAAATTAGCCGTGTGTGGTGGCACATGCCTGTGGTCCTAGCTACTGGGGAGATGGGAGAATCGCTTGAACCCAGGAGGTGGAGGCTGCAGTGAGCCGAGATCACGCCACTGCACTCCATCCTGGGCGACAGAGCGAGACTCCGTCTCAAAAAAAAAAAAAAAAAAAAAAAAAAAGATTGTTGGGGATTTTCTTATTGATTTATAGTAGTCTTTCTTTAAAATTTAGCCCTTTGTTATTTGAGTGGCAAATATAATTCCTAGCTTTCTGTTTACTTTTGACTTTGTATATATTTATTTTTCCCATGTGAAAGTCTTTATTTTTATGTCATTAAATTTATCAATCTTATATTTTATGACTTTTGGCTTTTGTGGCATTCTTAGGCCTGCTGCACTCCATGAGTGTTTTCTTCTAGTACATAATTTTTTTTGCTTTCTTTCATTTTTTTCTTATATTTAACTCTGATTTATTGTGGGGTAAAGCATGTTCTAGTGTTCCAGCTTCACTTTTTTTCTGAATGGCTATCCAGTTGTCCCAAGATCATTTGTTGAATAATTCATTTTTCCCCATTTGAAATGACACCTTTTCGTATACTAAAGTCCCAAGTCTCTTAGTTATAAAACAGTAATAAACCCTTGAAACAGGCATTTTCCTAAAATACATTTTGTTTATTAAAGACACTTTTCAAGATTAAAGAAATTAGAGGGGATAAACGTTAATTTTAGCCTTAGTTTTATCCAACAGTTGTTGTTTCAAATGTATGTAATTGGATCAGAAATTCAGCAGTTAGAAAAGCTAAGAGTCATCATTGTATATAAATGGCTGCTATTGGTACCAAAATTATATATTGAATAACAGGGATGTCCTCTGGCATTTATTACAGAATATTAAAATTGAAACAAATACGTGGCCAGACCAGTGAATTAAGTGCCTCCTCTAATGAAGGGTATAATGTTAAAGCATTACTATCTTCAGTGTAAGGATGGAATAACCAAGGAGAAATCACCAACCTCCAGCATAAGATTATTTTATTTAAATATTATTTTATGAATTCTGTTGGCAAATATAGACTACTTTGAATCTTGATTTCTCCTAATAAAGATTATCTTCACTTTTGTCCTTCCTGCTTACTTTTTAAAAGTCTATTCTGCTTTAAAGATTTTCATTTGCTGGGACTAGATTTCTTGGATTGCTGCCACATGTCCTTCTCTCTGTGAATCCACCCATCCCCACTTTTTTCTTTAAAAGGCAGATACCTGGTTTATATCATGAAGAACTTTTAAAAGCAGTAAGGAGAGAGTAGAATTATATGAGTATTTAATTATATATATATAATATATATGAGTGAAGGGGTTAATCTTTAATTGTATAAATTCTAAAAAAATTTTTAAATGACACTAGATAGGACATACCTCAAAACAACAGAAGAAAGTTGAAATATATTATTTTGGTTTTGTTTCTGTAAGCACACTATATGGGGAGGGTGAGGGAGGGAAAGGAAACCCTAACAGATTTTCAGTTCTTGTTAACCATACTATACCGTCACATAAGGTACAGGATTCTAGAGTCACTGTGTCAAATGTCAGAAAACTATTTCTCAATTATTTGAGCTTCTCTAAAATATAATATGGGCAAGGTTGATGACATCCTATAAATAAAAAAAAACTTAAGGCAAACTTACAAACAAAATGAGTTTCTCTAAAATTATTTAACTACAGAGAAAACATGCCCTGTAATGCTGTCTCTTGTGAATATAGTTTTTATTTTTCGTAAATTTACATTCTGTGAGGTGTTGTTTTAGATGTAATAATAGTTACACTTCTAGTTTAAGACACCTAGGTGGAAGTACTGCTTTTTCATTTTCTGACGACACACAGGGATTGATATTTGGGTTGGTTGAGTTTTAGATGTACAAACACACTGGTCTTATTTTGTATCACTGATGATCCACAGGGTTGGTTGGCTGCTATGTGCTGAACTTTCTGTTCTAGACTTTCTGCCAAGTACTTTATGCAAAACTCTGGTTTTAGTGAAACAGGTTTTATTGTTTTTAGTCAGAGTTGTATTATAAGCTGTTGTTAGCTATGCAATGCTAACAGAAGAGTTGGTATGTATATACAGCCATGAAAACAAACCACCAAAACAAGCCTGTCTCTGTTCAACTGGTGGTTTTTCCCTCCCATTCCTTTAGCCTCAGTTCATTTTGTTTACTGCCAAAGGCCTGAGATGGTGTAATTTTCTTTTCTAGGAACTTGGCATTAGAATTCCTCGACCACTAGGACAGGGACCAAGCAGATTCATCCCAGAAAAGGAGGTATGTTGTTTGTGAAAGTACATAGTGAACTGTATGCTTTTAAGGAAGCGCTTTCATGACCCACATCTTGGCATCTGAAGAACTGTTGGTCAACAACATGTTTTAGTCAGAGTTGGTTGCAGTTAATCATGCTTTGGCAGTGAATGTGTGGGAATAAAAAGCTGTTGTACTTGTGTTGATTTCTAGTATTTCATGGTGTCTTTTTAACACCCATATTTAATCAGGTAAAGCCAAGATTGGTTTTTGACCAATGATACTCCATCTGCTTATATTTAGATGTTGTTTAGGTGTGCCTATAACCTGAGTTACTTAGTCTTGACCATCTCCACAGGCTGATATCAATGCTAGATTGGATCTTTAATTCTATATATGTGTAAAAGCATCTATGCTTTATTTTTGTAAGGATTGTATGCTATTAGTTAATTTTAGTTCTCCTTAAATTGAGCGAGAGTAGGCAGTTTTGTAAAGAAAGGCTTTAGTGTTTGCAAGCTCTGCAAGTTTGATAATCTAAATCTGCTTCTTTATCTGGATTCTGGCCAACTCTGCAAGCAGCCTATCTAGATGGCCTTTAATGTTCAGCCTTTGTTGTTTATCCCCTACTATATAATATGTAACTGTTTATTCTTCTGTATCTTTCAACCAGTTGAGTTTAAATCTGTAACCCTTCTTTCTTAAGCCAAATTTAATCTGCTTCTAAATGATACTTAGCGTACAGCCCATGTATATTTTCTTCCCTTAACACCAATTTACAATTTCAGTAACCATGGTTTTTCTCTCATTACAGATCCTCCAAGTGGGGAGTGAAGACGCACAGATGCATGCTTTATTTGCAGATTCTTTTGCTGCTTTGGGCCGTTTGGATAACATTACATTAGTGATGGTTTTCCACCCACAATATTTAGAAAGTTTCTTAAAAACTCAACACTATCTACTGCAAATGGATGGGCCGTTACCCCTACATTATCGGCACTACATTGGAATAATGGTTTGTAAACATTCAGTGAAAAATTCTTTTTGCTATTTTTATTAATCTCTTTAAGAGACAGTTAGTGCTTTAAACACAGGGATAAATACTTAGATTATGATGTATAATATGATTCCTGTTACATAGTCTCTGTTTTTCCTATTTTTAAATAAGTATGCTCTCAATTATAACAAAAAGAAACAAGTATTTATATTTGTTCTTTTTCTCATTGCTGAGAACCATTCTTCATTAAATAAGTAGAACAAAAGTTGTTTCATCATTATAAATAGTTCACATTGGCATAAGTGGTGCTTCCTCTTCAATTTGTAAATAATATTCCATTATTTTATGATTGGCACCTTAATTGAAGTTTCTTCTTAATCGGAAGTTCTGAAAGTATATAGATAAAATGTCTAAAGTTCAAATACTTTAATCAGATATTTTGTTCTTGGAATATTTATAAGGTTCTTACTGTATTTGAATTTTTAAAATATTTATATAAAAACTGCATTTCTGTAGTTTATGGAAAATTTGAAAACATACTAATAATTAGCTCTTTTGCATGTTGTAAATAAAAAATAGTTAGTTCAAGGTTTTAATATTTATAATTAGAATAATCTTTTTGTTTTCTCTGAAGGCTGCGGCAAGACATCAGTGTTCCTACTTAGTGAACCTGCATGTAAATGATTTCCTTCATGTTGGTGGGGACCCCAAGTGGCTCAATGGTTTAGAGAATGCTCCTCAAAAACTACAGAATTTAGGAGAACTTAACAAAGTGTTAGCCCATAGACCTTGGCTTATTACCAAAGAACATATTGAGGTAAGCAGTGGGGTAATCTATCTTGGGAGTCATTTCATACTTTTTTAGAGCAGTTTTAGGATTACAGAAAAATTGTGCAGAAAGTACAGAGAGTTCCTATTTTCTACCCCCTGAGCCTCTTCCCACAGGTGCACATTTTCTTCTGTTATAGCATTTCTGTAGTACATTTGCTATAATTGATATATTACTAGTAACTCTATAGTTCACATTAGGGTTCAGTCTTTGCATTGTATGGTTCTACACCATACAATGGTGTATTTCAACAGATAATGTCACGCATCCATTACAGTATCATATGGAATAGTTAGTACCCTAAAAATGCCCTGGGTTCCACCTGTTCATCCCTTTCCCCTTCCCCTAAACCCCTGCAACCACTCATCTTTTTATTGTTTCTATATAGTTTTGCCTTTTCCAGAATGCCATACAGTTGGAATCATATAAAAGTATGTAGCTTTTCAGACTGGCTTCTTTCATCTAGTAACATCCATTTAAGGCTTCTTCATGCTTTTTCATGACTTGACAGTTCATTTCTTTTTATCACTGGATAATTCTCTATTGTATGGTTATACCATAGTTTGTTTATCCATTCACCTATTGAAGGATATCTTGGTTGCTGCCAGTTTTGGGCAATTACAGATAAAGCTGCTATAAACATTCATGTATAGGTTTTTTTTTTTTTTTGGTCGACAAAAGTTTTCACCTCATTTGGGTAAATAACTAGGAGTGCAATTTGTGGGTAATATGGTAAGCGTACGTTTACCTTTGTAAGAAACCGTGAAACTGTCTTCCAAAGTGGTATGTTTGCATTCCCACCACCAGTGAAGCAGCATTCCTGTTGGCCCACATCTTTGCCAGCATTGGTGTCAGTGTTTTGGATTTCAGCCATTCTGATAAGTGTGAAGTGGCATCTCATTGTTACGCATCTTTATGTTATGTTTTAAATGTCATGTTAAACTAGTTTGTTCTGGTTCTATTTATTAATAGAGGTAATAGAGTAAAAGTAGATTGATGTTCTCTAAAATTGTCTACCATGCACTATAAATTCTTAAAGATGCATCTTTTGGTCTTATCTATTTTATAGAATGGATACTATTAGATAATTAAAGATATTATCAAGAAGATAAAGATTTGAATATATTAATACAATGCCTATTATATATTGTCAAGTAAGGAAAAATTATACAAGATTACAAAACAGATAATGAAGCAGAAGTGACAGAATTGAATAGAAGAATTATAGAATTTATGTATAACTTTTTGATGATTTAGGAGTATTTAATAAAGTTGTTCAAGCCACTATCTTAAAAATTCCTTGAGGAGGCCTTATAATAAAGCACAGGCATTTCAAACAGCAGCTTCTACTTATATAAACACAAATTTATTACATTTGCTTTGAGATTTTGAACTAACAACACAGTAATTCATTCATAATCCAGCATCTGAAATACAGCGACCACTTTTAAGCAAAATGCATTCTCTTATATTTTAAGTCAATATTTCAGAAAATCAAAATAATAGTGAATGTCTTAACAGATTATGTTAAGTTGTATTTGTGAATGCATATTTATAAAAACTAGCAAATTCTGGGTTCTACATGTTTCAAATGATAATTTTATAGTAGACTTTGTATGGTGACTCATGTTTTCAATAAATTAAATACTGAAATGAACTGTATACTTTTACCACACCCCACTACAAAAATATATTTTTTTTTCCCCCCTAAGGGACTTTTAAAAGCTGAAGAGCACAGCTGGTCCCTTGCGGAATTGGTACATGCAGTAGTTTTACTCACACACTATCATTCTCTTGCCTCGTTCACATTTGGCTGTGGAATCAGTCCAGAAATTCATTGTGATGGTGGCCACACATTCAGACCTCCTTCTGTTAGCAACTACTGCATCTGTGACATTACAAATGGCAATCACAGTGTGGATGAGATGCCGGTCAACTCAGCAGAAAATGTTTCTGTAAGTATTATTTGTCATGAGATTGTCATAAAAGTAATCACAATAATTGCTGTTATATTATTTCTTCAGTTGGCTTCTTAGAAAAACCCACCCTGTTAAGACTGTGGTGATATTGGGCCCCTATATCGATTCATTCAGTAAGGTTTTATTGACTGCCTCATGCTCATCACTGGTCTAGGTGATATACAAAATTATACAAAAGTGATGTACAAAACTCTAAGACCCTCTAGGAGTTTACACTTAGATAATTTTAGGATCAGGAGCCAACAGCATGTGTCCCATCAGGGCCAAATAATATTGACTGGCTACTACAGTGACATGAGGGAAGGCTGAAAATAGTGTGGCCTAGTGGTGAAGACTTTTTGTGCCAATCACATTCTTCTCTTTTGCACAAAATAAACAGTCTGGCTTCGTAATTTTTTATCTTTCAGAAGATTTAATCAACTTTGATCTAGAAATTTCTCTCTTTAAAATTCTTTTTCATGTTTAACTTTGCACCAATATAGAAGGTGATATCAGGTGAATGTAAATGTGTTAAAATGCTTTCACCTCTATTCCTTATCTTCCTAGCTTTTATATATTCTCAGTTTTGTTACTCCTTTGAAACAGAGCAAGTTCAGTTTTCTATAAGCAAATTTTAATTCCTATATATGATGAATCAGAATCCCCTCCTGCATTCTTTTGCTGTAGCAAAAAAAAGCAGGTGTTTATTTTATGCTTCAAAAATAAATTTTAGAAGCAGTATCACAGCCATCTGAATGCTTTGCATGCATTTTCTGAGTTATATTATCCCTTTGAAATAGATTTGACAGGTTGAATTGCCTTTAACTTACATATTTGACTTCGGGCAAGTTACTGAATCTCAGTTATTTCATATCTAAATAAAAGTAAAACACAAAGTTATTGTGAGGTTTAAATGAAACGTCTCTAAAGAAGTAAAATGCCAAGTACAGCACTGAGCATTTGTGAGGTGCTAAATAAGAGGTAGCATTTACATATGGTGAAATTAGCACAAGAAAGAATAATTTTCCCAAAGTTGATCATAGCACTGTCCTGACACTGCCAAAGACCATCAGTTTCACCATCCTTTGAGCTGCCTAGATTCATGTTATAGGCCTGCATATAGCCACTGATTATTTGTCAAAGCTTGGCAGTCAGAAGAGGATCCAAGAGAGAGTATTCATTTGCTAGAATGCTAGGAGATGGATTGTTGTCCTTGCTACCAATCATTTAGTACAAGGCTAAAGAAAAAAGTACTTGATTGTTTCTAGTTCTCCTTCTATTAAAAGAATGAATAGTGAAAGAAGATGATTTTTATTTCTCTAATAGATAAGCTTCCTATTCCCAGGTAAGTTGGATACTTTTAGAAGGTTTATGGCCCACACTGATGACACCTGACAGTGAGCTGAGATGGCTTGTTTTTTAGGTACATATCCAGTGTCTGACTCAGCTCTTCAGATACAAATGGTAACAAACAAACAAGAATTTTCCATCCCTCCCAACCCTGGCAACTACTTACTCCTTTTTTTTACTGTCTCCATAGTTTTGCCTTTTCCAGAATGTTATATAGTTGGAATCATACAGTATGTAGACTTTTCAGATTGGCTTCTTTCACTTAGTAATATGCATTTAAACTTCTTCCATGTCTGTTCATGGCTTGATACCTAATTTCTTTTTCGCACTGAATAATTTTTTATTTTCTGGATGTACCAACGTTTCTTTATTCCAGTAGCTACTGAAGGACACATTGGTTGCTTCTAAGTATTGGTGTATTATCCTGTTCTCATGCTGCTAATAAAGACATACCCAAGACTGGGTAATTTATAAAGGGAAAAAAAAAATTCTTACACAGTTTTAACATTTTAATATTAAAATGAAATGCCATAATTTTTTTAATCCTAACAACTTTGGCAGATCAGTCAAGGAACAAAGAAACCTACTTTGTTTCGTTTCCCTCTTATTTCAATATAATATCAAGAATTATCTTTCCTAAGAATACTTACAATTTGGGCTCTTTAAGAGGAGAATGGGTAAACAAAATAAATTAGTGAGAGATAATGTGAGTTGATGGAGACCTTTTTTAAACTTTGAGTCATCCTATCATGAAACCTAATCCTTTTCAGCTCATTTTTTATTTGGTTACTGACCATGTGTCAGGAATAATTATGGGGAAAATGCATGCATGCGCCAGAAGAATCTTCAGTACCATCGCAGAAACACTTCCCATCATGAAAGTCTTAGAGGAAGGGCTTAATACTGGGCATTTCAGCATAACTGTTTGGATCAAAAGAAAATGTAAAGCACAAGTGATATAGATTGTCTCTTAATGTAGAATTATCCTGACAGTCATTCTCCAACAAGTATTTCTTGAATATCTACTATGTACCAAGTGTACTCTGCTAGGCTTGGGATATACACAAGTAAACCAAAGAGATCTCCTACCTTTATGAAGGTTTGGTCTGGGAAGGGAGCCAGCATTAAATCAATATCATGCAAATAACAATTATAAATTATGATTGGTCCTCTGAAGGAAAGAGGAGAGGGTTGTGTTAGAATCTAATTTGATAGTGGGGTAAATGATCGTGTTTAGAAGGATGTAAGCTGCTACCTAAAGGATCAATGGGTGGAAGCCAGGAAGAATGGGAGATAGAGGTCTTAAAAACATTCCTAGCAAAATCAATTCATAAAAGGGGAAACATTAATTTTGTATATATACATTGAGATTTGAGACTAAGACTTTTTTTTTTTTTTTTTCTTTTTGAGACAAAGTCTCTCTCTGTTGTCCGGGCTGGAGTACAGTGGCACAATCACAGCTCACTGCAGCCTTGAACTCCTCCTGGGCTCAAGCGATTCTCCTGCCTTGGTCTCCCAAAATGCTGGGATTACAGGCGTGAGCCACTAGCCCAACCTAGACTTCTTAATATATTCATTTAATTTATAAGAAAGATATAAATTGTATAGATTTGATCTAGCTTTTGTAGCAAGAATGCAGCAGGGTATGGAAGTATAACCGGTTTGACTAGTGCAAAACAACTTGGCCAGTCCTTTGTCAGACCTATTACTCTATGTGTGACACTGCTCTAGTCATCCCAGCAAGTGACAGCTGCCAGATCCATTTGCAGAGGTCAGGTGGCCAACTCCAGCCATGTAAAGACATCTTTCATGTTTAATTGGTAAATTGTATAAATAGAGCTAATTATTAAAGATGATAGACACATTGACAATATGTATGCCCAGTGTACACAGTTGATGCAAAGTCACTTATACTTTGTGTATCTTATTTATTTAAAGATTAAGCAAGTAGAAGTTAACTTATGCAATTGTTTTAAATTGACAAGTAGTGTTTAGTTTTTAAAACAGCATAAATAGTAATGACATTGCTAATCTTGTAAAAGCATTAGAATGTGTTCTTAAAATCATGTTTTTCTTATATTTTAAAATCTGCATGTCTGTATTCCTAATAGGCCAAAATAATTTTTTATTCATTAATGTACATTAAAATTATAAGAATATTTTCCCTATATTCTATTAAGACATAAATTCTGGCCAGGCATGGTGGCTCACACCTGTAGTCCCAGCACTTCGGGAGGCTGAGGCGGGCAGATCACAAGGTCAGGAGATCCAGACCATCCTGGCTAACACGGTGAAACCCCATCTCTACTAAAAAACACAAAAAATTAGCCGGGCATGGCGGTGGGCACCTGTAGTCCCAGCTACTCGGGAGGCTGAGGCAGGAGAATGGCGTAAACCCGGGAGGCGGAGCTTGCAGTGAGCCGAGATCTTGCCACTGCACTCCAGCCTGGGCAATGGAACAAGACTCTGTCTCAAAAAAAGAAATAAAAGATATAAATTCTTATGAGACAGACTTAAAAGATAATTCATATATATTCTGTGTCTGCCACGTGTAACATTAATTGTATTTTTTCTTCAGGTGAGTGATTCTTTCTTTGAGGTTGAAGCCCTCATGGAAAAGATGAGGCAGTTACAGGAATGTCGAGATGAAGAAGAGGCAAGTCAGGAAGAGATGGCTTCACGTTTTGAAATAGAAAAAAGAGAGAGCATGTTTGTCTTCTCTTCAGGTAAGAACAACCGTTACATAGTCAATATAATTATTGCAAACTCAACTTTTTATTTAGGGAATTTAAATGACTTTTAAAGCATCAATCTAAATATGTCCTTCCTTTTAGAGAGGCTATTGCATAGATATTCCTATTTACAAATAATTTTTAAAGCAAGCAACTAAGAAAAGGCCAAAGTGAAAACAGCCTAGACTAAGAGGGAGGACATTTAATTTGGATTCTGGTACTAAAATTACTTCTAATAACCTTTGTGAACTTGGCTAAGTCACTTAACATATGAGTGCCGTCTTTTTTCTCATTTTTTTTTTTTTTAAGAAACAGCATCTTGCTTTGTTGCCCGGCTGGAGTGCAGTGGCGTGACTGTAGCTCCTAGGCTCAAGCGATCATCCTGCCTCAGCTTCCTGAGTAGCTAGGACTACAAACATATGCCACCACGCCTAGTTAATTTTTAAATTTTTTTTGTAGAGATGGAAGTCTTGCTATATTGCCCATGCTTCTCTTCTTTAACATGAGGAAATAGTCCCAAGACTGCTTCCAGCATTAAAATTCTGTGATTTTTTGGGGGCATGGTAGTTTGTACCTGTGGTACCAGCCACTCAAGAAGCTGAGGTGGGAGGATCGCCTTGAAGCCAGTCATTCCAGACTAGTTTGGGCAACCTAGCAAGACTCTCGTCTCTAAAAAAACAAACAACAACAACAAAAAGTATCATTTGTGAAAAGGAGATATTTATTAAATAACCAACAACCACCTAAATCCTCTATGTTTAACCTTTATCTATATGCAGGCTACAGGAGATAATATATAAACCAGGTAATTTAAAGGAGAAACAGCTTATAAAATGTCTCCAGATGTATTTTGACAATAATAGAGTGGGAGAAAGAGCACCAAGCTTCTTAATAGCAAAGAAACAATCAAATTTGTTTAAATGGAGGTTGGACGTTAGCTTGTTTTTCTTCCAGGAAAAATTTTTCTTTCCATGCCTAAAGATGTAGAGTTGTCATCTAATGCTACACTTACATGAAACTATAATCTCATCAACTTCTAAACATGATGATAGTTCAGAAAGTCTTAGGCACAGTGCAGGCAGCACTGTAAAAATGTTAACTCATGGGATTTCTTTCTTTGATCATGTTACATATTATATGTCATTAATATTCAACAAAAATAAATGCTAAATTTTGAAGCATAGCTGATTTTTATAGTTATCTTAAAAATTATCCAAAAGTATGTTCATACTTTGAATAAGTAGAACCTAATACATATAAATTGGAATGGGAGGAGAGAGAGAGGGTCTATGAAAGAGGCAATAAAAGGCATAGAGAATTCGACTATGAGTTTTCATTTTATAACAGAGAATCTCCTTTATTCTATTTACTAGCAAGTAAACTACTTTGTATAATTGTAAGACTATTTTGGTTGATACTGGTTACTCAGTAACAGAGAAAAGGTTATGCCATTTTTACTTGCTTTGGGTAAAGTCAATTTTAACTAGCATCCCATTTTTAAAAACCTTTCAATGGCCTTTTTCCCCAGATGATGATGAAGTTACACCAGCAAGAGATGTATCTCGTCATTTTGAGGATACTAGTTATGGCTATAAAGATTTCTCTAGACATGGGATGCATGTTCCAACATTTCGTGTCCAGGTAAAATTGCAACTTGTATGCACATGATTGACTAGAAACATCTCAGTCTGACTTAAAATACAAAAGACCCACTTAGATTTAAGAACTATGCTAAGTGCTTTCCAGGCAGTATCTCTTCTTGTTTCAGAATAAAAGCTGAAAGACTGTTTCTAATCCATCCATGGAATCATACTGCAGTTTCAATGTATGTGTATCTTAAAATTTTTATTGTGTAAGTATTTAATTCAGATGAGTTGATACTCCCAGCATTCCCAAATATTGTTAGGGGCCAGTGTTAAATAATAACTATTTTACCAGAATTACGAAAATATTTGAGAACCATAAGATTTTGTTTCTTTGCTCAAGAAACTAAGGGGCCTCATACTGGCTCCCACCTGTAATCCCAGCACCTTGGGAGGCTGAGGCAGGTGGATCGCCTGAGCCGAGGCATTCCAAGACCAGCCTGGCCAACAAGGGGAAACCTTGTCTCCACACAAAAATAAAATAAAATAAAATTAGCCAGGTGTGGTGGTGTGTACCTGTGGTCCCATCTACTTAGGAGGCTGAGGTGGGAAGATCACTTGAGCCTGGAAGGTTGAGGCTGCGGTGAGCCCTGATGGAGCCACTGCACTCCAGCCTGGGTGACAGAGTGGGATCCTGTCTCAAAAAATAAAAATAAACTAAGGGACAAAATTTAGGCACAAGGAAGAGTTACAGAATAATTATACAATAGATTAGAAATTGAAGACATCGTGTGGACTGGAAATTTTATGGAGAGACATTAGGATTTGAAGAATTTGGATAGTAAAAAGGGTATTGTAAGTAGAAGAGAATAGACAATAATTAAGCTTAGGTTGAGGGATAGAGTGAAGGAAGGAATTACAAAGAGATTGGCTGGCTGCTGAGAGCTTCAAGCTAAAGATTCCTACTTCTGATTAGTGGTGTATGTTTAAAATTGGTTAGGTGTGCCTTAAATGTGAAAGCAGTTTACAGTAGATTATGCAGGGTTTGTAGGCTTTGACCAGAGTGATGGCATAATATCAAAGAGGTGTTTTTAGAAAAGCAACAAAGAAGTAGGGGCTTATTAAGTCTTGTTTCAGGTGGAAAGAAAGGAGGCAAGGAAATTTAATATAGGAAAACTAATTAGGAGACTCAGTTAATAGGGCTAAAAGGCAGAAGTGGGGGTAGGAGAAGGAATGGGTGCTGGATGCGTTGAATTAAAAATTCACAAAATTTGGCCAGATCTGGTGGCTGCCACGTGTAATCCCAGCATTTTGAGAGACCAAGATGGGAAAATCACTGAGGCCAAGCATTCAAGACTAGCATGGGCAGCCAAACAAGACCCTCTCTCTACAAATAATTTTAAACAGTATCCAAGCAAGGTGGCCTGTGCCTGTAGTTCCAGTTACTCAGGAGGCTGAGGCAGGGAGGATCGTTTGATCCCAGGAATTGGAGGCTGCAGTGAGCTGTGATCACACCATTGCACTCCAGCCTGGGCAACAGAGTGAGACCTTGTCTCTTAAAACACACTTACTCATTATTTGAATGCCATTTTGAATGGCTGCAGCAATGGAAAAGGAGAGGGGACTCCCAAGATGGTCACATCTGGGGGCTGAGTGGAGAGAGTGTGAAAGAGAGAAAGGCCGATGTGTAAAGGGAGGAGACTACTAGGTTTTTTTTTAGATGAGACTATTAGTTTTTAAACTCACTGAGTTATGACACACAACCTTTTGCATGTTACAGTATGGAAACTGAAAAAAGACTGGAGTGCAAGAAGCTGAGAGTTAGGGATGAAAGCCAGTTGGATTGTCAGCCAAATGACAATCATTTTTACCATACTACAGAGCTGTAGATAAAGAACTGTACTTGACCACATTTTAATTATTCACATTTGTTCTATTCCCTGTATTTAGGACTATTGCTGGGAAGATCATGGTTATTCTTTGGTAAATCGCCTTTATCCAGATGTGGGACAGTTGATTGATGAAAAATTTCACATTGCCTACAATCTTACTTATAATACAATGGCAATGCACAAAGATGTTGATACCTCAATGCTTAGGCGGGCAATTTGGAACTATATTCACTGCATGTTTGGAATAAGGTTAGTCTTCTTTCTGTATTTATAAAAAGATGTTTTCCTCTGGGCCAAATTTTCAAGTGCTTAGAGTGCATGTGCACATGGACACACACATAATCAAAACCCATCCCCTCCCCTATAACTTATTTTTATGCTATTTATGCTTCAAAGAACCAGTTTATTGCAACTTAGTTTTTTCTCCTCTTTCCTAGCTAGGCAGGAGGGAGAGTTAGGGACTTTGACAAGAGTTGAATGACAGCTGCCTCCAGGAAAGGGAGGACAAGCAAGCTGGTCCTAGAACAAAGTTTGTCACTGAACACCTTTAGTATCTTTTCTCTTCATATCATCTGTCTCCTGATACATTTATGTTTCTACCTCCTTGGAAATTAGTACCCTTATATTGCCCCTCTGGCTGTTCTTAGGCTCCCTCTGAGGATTACTTGCTCTCATAATACCTAATAAAAATGCAAAACTTTCATGTCCTTGCTGTTAGGTTTTTATTATGTTATAATGAAAATGCAGTCATTGTATACCACCTTCTCACACATGCACACAAACTCCGAGCTACAGTGCTTACTAGTTAACTATTTTCACTGTAAAATCAGGCTTTCTATTCATTTTATTAGAGACTCTGGTCAAAACCTACAAACCCTAGTTAATCTACTCTAAACTGATCTGGCATTTGAGGTACATCTGACCAACTTTAAACTAATTTCCCACTAATCAGTAGCCAGACTATTGACTTTAGCCTCCTGAATGGTTGTAGAACCAGCTTTGCAAGACCTTTCTCCTCTTTCCCCTGAAAACTCAATAGGAGACTTCAGTACCTATGTCATCAGGAATCCATTACCCAGTGCAGCAAAGCAGACAACTAGTACATGCAGAGCCATCTTGGCTTAAAGCAGGATAGGCTCTCCTAAGTATAGACCATCCTTCTGCCCACAGCCCCTGCCTTTTTTCTCATTTGACCCCAGAAACTCCTAGAAACATGAGTAAGGTAATTCTAATTATTTTTATTTACACAAGTGAATTTCTCTATATGTATATATAGAGAATGTACTAGTACCAATAACAAACATAATTATTTCGTTTAATTTTGATAATACTCAAAATCTGTTCTCAGAATTTGTTCAGCCAGGCACAGTGGGTCACGCCCATAATCCCAGTACTTTGGGAAGCCAAGGCGGGCGGATCACTTGAGGTCAGGAGTTTTAGACTAGCCTGGCCAATATGGTGATACCCTGTCTCTACTAAAAATACAAAAATTAGCTGGGCATGGTGGCACACACCTGTAATCCTAGCTTCTCAGGAGGCTGAGGTGAGAGAATCACTTGAACCCAGGAAGCGGAAGTTGCAGTAAGCCAAGATAGCACCACTGCACTCCAGTCTGGGTGACAGGGCAAGACTCCGTCTCAATAATAGTTTGTTCCTCAGTGTGGTTGCATATTCATGATTGCAAATGTACACTACTGCTTGGTACCCAGTGCTACGTTAATATTGTCAGCTTTCAGGAATGATTTACTTGGGTAGTAGAAAATGTTCTGTTACTCTCCCTAAGTACTCTTGTTTCTTATCCCTTATACTCACTCATCCACCTGCAGTTGTAAAGCTCTATCATTTTTGGGGACAGCTGCCTACACAAAGAGGGAAAAAATACAGCATTAATTATTGATGTGTATACTTTTGTAACATGAAAACAGGTTATACACTGAAAATATCATAATTCTCCTTATGTCTTTCAACAGATACGATGATTATGACTACGGTGAAATTAACCAGCTATTGGATCGTAGCTTTAAAGTTTATATCAAAACTGTTGTTTGTACTCCTGAAAAGGTTACCAAAAGAATGTATGAAAGCTTCTGGAGGCAATTCAAGCACTCTGAGAAGGTATGTGCCTATTGTGGCTTGTTTACTCTGTAACTTAGCAATGATTCGTAGTCTCCTTCACCTAACCTAATTGGTCTGAAACCCTTTCCATCACCCCTCCCAACCCAAAGAAAAACATTCCAGGACAGCTGTCTCAGGTACCCCTTCAGAAGGGAACCTCATTATGGTGATAGAGTAAAAGAATAAAGATAGGGAGCACAGGTGGGCTGGCCCATCTTCAGAAGTGCTGGCATGGCTGTCAGCATGTAGAAGAAAGACTGTTTTATAAAAGCTGTGTATATGTAGAAGTGTCTGTTCTCTTTGAAACATCTTTATAGAAATTACTGAATAATGATTTGGCAGGGGAAGTTGTTATTCTGATAAAAGTGTCTAGATTTTCTGACATGTAACAAACCTCCAAGAAATATGGTAAAATATAAATGAAAGCTCAAACCATCTATCCAAAAATAATGTTAGGGCGGGCATGGTGGCTCACACCTGTAATCCCAGCACTTTGGGAGGCCAAGGCAGGCAGATCACTTCAGGTCAGGAGTCCAAGACCAGCCTGTCCAACATGGTGATACTAAAAATACCAAAAACTTAGTTGGGCATGGTGGCATGCACCTGTAGTCCCAGCTACTTGGGAGGCTGAGGCATGAGAACTGCTTGAACCCAGGAGGTGGAGGTTGCAGTGAGCCAAGATCGTGCCACTGCTCTCGAGCCTGGGAAAGAGTGAAACTGTGTATCAGGAAAAAAAAGACAGCTGTTTTGAGAAATTGATAATCTGTTCAACAAACCCAAGGATAAGTTATTCTGTACTACATAGGAAGTGTAGGACGTGTACTTATTTTATGTGTTCATTAGATTCACTGAAAAACTGATTGTGAATGTTTGTAACCCTTCCTTATGTGATGTTGTATTTTATATTCAGGTTCATGTTAATCTGCTTCTTATAGAAGCTAGGATGCAAGCAGAACTCCTTTATGCTCTGAGAGCCATTACCCGCTATATGACCTGATGCCTTTCCTTCATTAAAGATGATTCTGGAATGATCAGCAGATATAGTCTACAAGGGGAAGGTACTAAACCCCAGGACCAATGGTAGACAAAATAATTCAGAAATCCATTGTGCCATGATTCCTTTAGTTTCTGCTATTTTTCTGTGGAAAACCCACTGCTGGCACAAGCAGTGACTGTTTGGCAGCTTCAAGTTTAGAGCTGTGAAGACAGGCTGCCATTCAAGTGTTTTGCTTTTTGACAGTACAAGATGCTGTGTAACTGTTTTAATACAGCAAATAGTAACTCTCCAAATCCTGTTGCTTTTATGTTAAATAAGATAACAAGAATTGGAGCATGCAAAGATGGGACTTGGATAATGACTTAAGCTTTATATATAAAGAATTTTAGAAGATCTTGGTGCTGCTATTCCTGCTGGAGGAATGAATAGATGGCTGTTTCAGTTAAGCTATTAGTAATAAAAGTGAACATTGCTACTATCTGAGCCTACATACATAACTTGTGTGATTTCAAATTGCATTATGTGTTAATTTTCTTGCATCTAAAAAAGCATAGAATTCCTACTCACACAGCTCAGCAACAACCATTTTGATGGTAACAGTTAATTTCTCTCATTAGTTTTTTAAATTCAGGGTTCTGGATATTAAATTATAATGGCATTCTTAAAGATTTTCTTCAAAAAGCAATCCTAAATGAAAGTGTGTAAATTACAAGAAGCTGGCGATCTTTTGATACGCTGTTTCACAGGATCCTGACACTGGAGGGCAGCTGTCTTGTGCAGTAGTTGTGTTTCCAGCATCGAAGTTGTGGGATATGTTGCTGTAGACTGCTGCGCAGTCCTGGGTGCATTCTGTGTCTCTGCCTCTGCCTGCCTCCTGGTCCCCCCTTTAAAGGTTGTGCAGCTCCTTAAATAATAAAGCTGGAAAACATTTTTAGTCAGGTTATCACATTTGATTTACAAAAACGCTAACTTTGTTTGAAATGCAAACAGGTTTGAAAATATGTATTAAGTACTTTGTATTCTGGAAGCGTGAATTGCTTTTGAAGTCTGTCAGTATTACTGGTATTTTTCAATAAAGAAGAATTTTTCTCCAATTTTATGTGCTGTCTCAATCTCTTAAAAAGTCATGACTTCACTATTAGTAATAATTTTGAGTTTCTACCTACTTTCATAAGCCAATTAAATAATAATGCTGTAATCAGATGAGACTGCTTTTAAATGGCAAAACACTTGAAGCCATTTTGAAAGATAGATACAAAGAAGAGTGGACTTTCTTTAGAATCTTATGTAAGACCATTTTTATTTATCTTGGAAATGACTGGTATGCCCCTATGCCTGCTCTCTTTTGAACTGTTTTAGAGTTCCAATAGAATGTTAAGAATTACTAGAAAGAAGGATTCATTAGGGAGAGACTGCAGAACAAAAAATGACACTTTATCGGACAAGTAGAAATAGCTCGAAGTTTAACTGAAGCGGTTGTGATAACTCTGTTACTCCTCAAAACATTTATTGAGCTCAATCTAGTGCCTGCCTCCAAATGTATGGGGTAGTGTGGAAGTGAGGGTTGGGAGCAATCAATTTTGAATAGAGGTGGTACCTGTCGTCAAGGATATTTACTCTTGTGAGAAGACAAGACTATAACCTTAGCTAAAAATAGAGTATTATCTTCAATATGTTTTATATTTAAAGAAACTTATAAGTACATTACTCATCGAATATGCATCACGCCTTTGTCCTCTTCTGCCTGCTATGGAGTTCTCTCACTATAGCAATACAATTGAACCCAAGAAGATAGTTAAAATTTTACTTATCCCATTTCTGTTCTTTGTTCCTCCTCTTGAAAATACAAAATTTCTAGTAGAGATTCTAATCAGCAGTAGAGTGATCACAAAACAAGATCAACTAGAATGCATTTAGTCCACTGGAACTTATAATCACTTAGAAATTGAAATCAAACTTTCAATGAGTTAAAAAATATGTTACCTAAAGTAATAAGAGTGCATGTGATACAAAGTTAATGTTTCAATGCCTCCCATTTAACAGGTGCTTCCTGTTTGAGTGTTTTCTCAAAAGTAAACACACAGGATTTCTAATGTTACTATATAATCTTTGAAACCAGTAGTTTTCAAAATAATTAGGGAAGGTACATTACACTGGGGATATCAAAACCTTCCCCAACCAGAGGAAAATTTTTTTCTAAAATAATATGAGAAGATTTCTGGTTGAGGTTCCCAGGATTCAAGAGTTAAAATATGAGTTTTTTTGGCCATATTTGGGAAAATTTTTATTAAGCCAAACTTAATCATCTCTAAGAATGAGGTTGATTTTGATACAGACCACCGGGAGATAAGTAGGTAAGTAAAACTTGTTGGATAAGCATTTTTTTATCAATATACTCTGAAATTTTATTAGCATATTCATATATGTGAATATCATATACGAGTCAGAAATTTTATTAGCATATTTGTATATGTGAATATCATATACGAATCATACTAGTTTTTTTTGCTAATGCTAGTAGATGGGAGTAATGTCAGCAAGATGATGGACTTGGGAATTCCATGTCCTTATTCTCCCAGAGACACTAAGTTAACAATATATGGGCCAGAATATCTTTGTGAGAACTCTAGAAACCAACTGGGAAACTGCAGCACTAAGGCAAATGCAAAGCCAGGAAAAGGCTGCACCTAAAGGCTAGAGTTGGGGATTTTGCTCACCCTAGCTCTTCCCTAGCAGAGGATAGTGTGATCAAGAGGAAGCATAAATTCAGCAAAGTTGCAGGATACAAAATCAGCACACAAAAATCAGTTGTATTTCTATACAGTAGCAATGAATGATCCAAAAAAATTAAACAATTCCATTTACAATAGCATCAAAAAGAATAAAATAGGAATAAACCAAGGAGATATGCGATGGTGTGAATGTTTGTGTCTCCCCCCACATTTGTATGTTGATGTATGTTGTATGTTGAAATGTAATCCTCAATGTGGTGGTATTAAGAAGTAGGCCTTTGGGAGGTGATAAGGTCAAGAGGGCTCTGCCCTCATGAATGGGATTAGTGCCCTTTAATAGAGGTCTGGGAAGCTCCCCTTCCACCATGTGAGGACAGAGCTAGAGTATGCCGTCTGTGAGGAAGAAGACACTAGGCACCAAATCCTTGATATTGGACTTTCCAGCCTCCAAAACTGGTGAGCAATAAATTTCTGTTACCTATGAATTACCCAGTCTAAGGTATTTTGTTACAGCAGCCTGAACAGACTAAGACAAAAGACTTACACATTGAAAACTGTAAGGCAGCAGTTCCCAACCTTTTTGGCACCAGGGACTGGTTTCATGGAAGACAGTTTTTCCATGGACCCAGGGTGGACAGTGCAGTGGGGGATGGTTTCAGGATAAAACTGCTCCACCTCAGATCATCAGGTATTAGATTCTTATAAGGAGTGTACAACCCACATCCCTCACATGCACAGTTCACAATAGGGTCCAGCTCCTATGAAAATCCAATGCTGCAGCTGATCAGACAGGAGGCAGAGCTCAGGCAGTAATGCTTGCTTGCCCACAACTCACCTCCTGCTGTGCAGTCAGTTCCTAACAGGCCACAGACCAATACTGGTCCATGGGTTGGGGACCCCTGCTGTAAAGCATTACTAAGAAATTAAAGACACAAATAAATGGAAAGACATCTCATGGTCACCCAGAGTGACCTGTAGATTCAATGCAATCTCTATCAAAATCCCAATGGCATTTTTCACAGAAGTAGAGAATTCCATGCTAAAAATCATCTAGAATCTTCAGCAGACCCTGAATAGCCAAAACAATCTTGAAAAAGAACAAAGTTGGAGGTCTCACACTCCCTGATGTCAAAACATATTGCAAAGCAACAGTAATCAAAATAATGTGGAACTGGCACAAAGTCAAACATACAGGCCAATGGAATAAGGTCCAGAAATAAAGTCTCACATATATGGCCAAATGATCTTTAGCAAAGGTACCAAGACCACTCAGTAGGGACAGGACAGTCTCTTTAACAAATGATGCTAGGAAAACTGGATACGCACATGCAAAACAATGAAGTTGGACCCTTATGTATTAAAAAACTCAAAGACCTAAATGTAAGACTGACAACTGTAAAACTAGATGAAAACACAGGGGGAAAGTTTCACAATATTGGATTTGGCAATGATTTCTTAGATATGACACAAAGTATGGGCAGCAAAAGAAAAAAATGGAATTACATCAGACTTAAAAATATTTGTTCATCAAAGGACAATCAACAGAGTGAAAAGGCAACCTATGGGATAGAAAATATTTACAAATTATATATTCGATAAGAGGTTAATAACCAGAATATATGAAGAATTCCTACAACTCAAAAAATCAAATAACTAAAAAATGGGGCTGGGAGTGGTGGCTCATGCCTGTAATCCCAGCAGTTTGGGAGGCCGAGGCAGGCAGATCATGAGGTCAGAAGATCGAGACCATCCTGGCCAACATAGTGAAACCCCTGTCTCTACACAAAAATTAGCTGAGTGTGGTGGTGTGCACCTGTAACCCACTGGGATTAGTCAGGAGGCTGAGGCAGGAGAATGGCTTGAACCTGAGAAGCGGAGATTGCAGTGAGCTGAGATTGCGCAACTGCACTCCATGCACTTCAGCCTGGTGACAGAGCGAGACTTCATCTCAAAAAAAAAAAAAAAAAAAAAAGGCCAAAGACTTGAATAGACATTTCTCCAAAGATGATATACAAATGACCAACAAACAAAAATTATGAAAAGGTGCTCAGCATGACTAATTATAAGAAATGTAAATCAATATTACAAAGACACATTACCTCACACCCATCAGGATGGCTACTATTTTTAAAAATCCCAAAATAAGTGTTGGTGAGGATGTGGGGAAATTGGAATGCTTACGTGGTATTGGTAAGAATGTAAAATGATAATCACCACTTAAACACAATGTAGGTTCCTCAAAAAATTAAAAATAGAATTCCCATATGACACAGCAATTCCACTTGCTGTGGACTGAATATTTGTGTTCCCCCAAAATTCACAGGTTGAAGCCCTATGGTCTTCAGGAAGTGATTCAGTCAGGAAGGTGGGGCCCGCATGAGTGGCAGTAAACCCTTATAAGGAGAGACAGATGAGAGATGATCTCTCTCGCCACCATATGAAGATAGAGCAAAAAGGCAGCCCTCTGCAAACCAGGAAGAGGGCCTTGACCACAAAGTGAACTGGCCAGCACCTTGACTTTGGACTTCCTAGTCTTAAGAACTGTGAGGAATGAACTTTTGTTAAGTCACCCAAACTATATTTTTTGTTATGTCAACTTGAATGAAGACATCACTTCTGAGTATATACACAAAAGAACTGAAAACAAGATCTTAAAGAGATTTGCACACCTATATTCATGGCAACATTATTCACAATAGCCATGACATGGAGGCAACCCAAATGTTCACTGACAGATGAATGGATAAACAAAATGTGGTATATACATAGAATGGAATATTATTCAGTCTTGGAAAGAAAGCAGCAGGGCACAGGTGGCTCACACCTATAATCCCAGCACTTTGGGAGGCTGAGGCAGGTGGATCACTTGAGGCCCAGAGTTCAAGACCAGCCCTGGCCAACATGGTGAAAACCCATCTCCACTAAAAATACAAAAATTAACCAGGCATGGTGGTGCATGCCTGTAATCCCAGCTACTTAGAAGGCTGAGCAGGAGAATCAGTTGAACCTGGGAAGCGGAGGTTGCAGTGAGCCAAGATCATGTTATTGCACTCCAGCCTGGGTAACAGAGACTGTTCTGAGACTCTGTCACAGGGAAGAAAAAAAAAAAAAAGGAAGGAAATCCTATCACAGGCAACAACATGGATGAACCTTGATAATACTATGCTAAGCGAAATAAACCAGTCACATACATACACAAATATTGTATGGCTCCACTTATATGACATATCAAGTAGTCAAAGTCATAGAAACCGAAAGTATTAACAGAATGATGGTTGCCAGGAGCTGGTGGGGGTGAAAATGGGGAGTTGTTTGGTGCATACAGCTTTAGTTTACAAGATGAAAGAATTCTAGAGATCTGT